GGACACAGGAGCTTGCGGCAAGCTGCTCTATGGAAGGTGTTTTGACTGGAGCTGGATGAGTTTTATGCTCCTTTCCAACCCAAACCATTCCCCGATTCCATGACCAAGGCTCAAACCACCATGTCTGCTCTATGAAGCACCACCTGTGTGTCAGTGCAACCCTTCCACTCCTCCTTGTGCAGCTGCACTGCTCCTTACCTTGCCACACAAAAGCCTAACCACAACAGAGGAAACCAGGAAACAATGCTCAGCACTGTTAAACACATCCTACATAATGAATGGGGATTGTTCAACACCTTCACATAATGCCCGACCAGCTCAGTTCCAGGCTTCCCTCCCCACAGAACAGCAGCAGAGAACTAAACTTAGACCTTTGGCGCTGCTCTTTTGTTACTTTTCTGATGGATATCAAGCCTGTTTCTGTTGGCTAGAAGAGGGAGCTGTTGTTCTCCCATGTGTTCCCTGCTTGTGTGTTGAACAGAGCAGTGATGTATGGTGAACCACCAGCCTTTGTGGCCAGACACCCATTGTTGCCAAGGCAGCCTGGCTTACCTGGCCTATAGAAGAAAGCTATATTTTGCCCTTCAATATGTTCCTAGAGATGCAGTTACTCCTCATCTCTCACCCTTGCAAGCTGCAGCCCCTATCCAGTTTACTTTGGAATGCTGATGTCCTTATTTTTAGAGAGGTTTGCTGGAATTAGAACTAAAATGCAACATTGTGATACGGAATTAAGCATTAAACAGGTTATTCATCATCTTTAATGCATTGCCAACAATGCCTGTGACCAAGGTATTAAAGAGCATATCCCTGCCTCTTTTCCAAGGAGCTTGAAGATGAAGCAGGTCTCCCCTGCTCATCCAGAGCAAGAACCAGGCTCCTTCCATGAACCAGACTGCTTAAATCCATCCATCTCCCTATTTACCCTGCACAGCAAAGGCAGGATTTCACTGGAGAAATCAAGGCCACTGTCACCTCCCCTTTAGCTGCTGACACAGTGCCCTCGGGCAGCGAAACCCCTATCTCAGCAGAAACCATGCCCACAGAGAGGAACAAGAAGAGCCCTGACTGGGCTTTTCACACCCTCAAACAGCCTGGGTGATTCAGCTGCTGATTCGGGAACAACTGCCTCAGCTCTCAGGTCTTTTACATGGGAATCTGCTTTTAATGCCCCTTTTAACACCACAGACAGCTGGTCCCCATGCAGATAACACACAGGGGTACCAAAGGGGCCTCCTGCATCCGCACATGCCCTGCCCATGGCAATGGAACCACAAGGGGCAGATCCCAAGGGGAATTCTGCACAATACAGCTCACTTGGGACACATCACTTCAATTAGCATCAGAAACTAGTTATCTGGTCCATCAGCCAAGCTTTCCTTGATAGCCTGCCAACCAGGGCATTAACTCAGAGTGACCTAAGGGATTGCTATGAGCTGCTCACTCCTTGGGAGAGTCCATTACAACCTTTCACAGGACAGTTTAAGTCCTGAAACCTTTGTTTTTAATATTGACAGCAACGGAAGCTTTTGGACCTCAGTGCTTGGTAGGTAGATTCACAAGAGGCCAGAGCCATCATCCCCCGCTAATCTTAGGACGCACGTATACAGCCTCGCCGCTTTGTTTTAGCTAAACCCCTTCTTTTGGGGATGCTCTTTGCTTCTTCTGCCATCGTGTGGCTGGTTGGAGGATGAGAGCTGTCTGTAGAGCAGGCCAGCAGCTTGCTGTGCCCTAGAACCGGGGTATGGATTTTCAGGGCGCTCGGAGGTGTATGAAGTCCATGGAGAGGCATTGCTTCATGATCCATCCCACCTCCTGATGACTACTGCAGGTTTACCTTTAATGTTGTGATATCTTGGAGTAGACCTCGTTAATCCGATTGTTTGGATTGACAGCTGATGTGGGCAGCTTGTGGAGCTTATGCTGGCACTGGGGAACAAGATCATGGAAAAGGCACTGTCTGACCACCATCACAGCTATCCACTTTGGAAGCGATTCCTGTCCCTCTGAGAACCATCCCTAGGCCATTTTCATCTGGGAAAGTCTGAGTCCATGCTCAGGGCTGCCCTAGTGACTGCACTGGGCAGACACTGGCAGGGCTCTATTCCAGTCCATGGGAGCCTTTCCCTGCCATGCAGGAGGAGCTGACAACACCATTATCCCTCCCCTCCTTCTGAAGAGGGCAGATCCTTCACGGATCTGGTGACAACTGTTTCTTCCCATGGAGAGCATTTTTGCCAGCAGATCCCAAGGCAGGATCCTGGTCTGCTCACACAGAGACCTTCAAATCCACCTTCAACCCTGCAGTGTGGTCTCTGCTTATCCTGCCCACACAGGGCTGACTGATGGGCATGGGACCAGGGGCTCTGGCTTTCTGAAAGAGGCCAAAGCCACCCAAACACTGCATCTGCTGGGGGTCTACACACAGCCTTTAGCTGCTGATATCCATGGGTATTTCCCACTGCCCCTCACCAGGACATGCTGCAGGCTTCATCCTCCCCTTGTGGTCCTCTGCCTGGTAAAGCAGGTCTCATCCAGGACCGGGAATGCCAAATGAGTATCCAGCATGCCATTGAGGGTGTTACAAGGAGGAATTGCATCATCCTTGCAACACACACACGAGGGAAGGAAGCCAGTAACTGTCTGCAGAGGGGTTCACATGAGGCATTCCTCAGTGCTTCCCTTGGGCCCCATGCATCCCATTCCCCTGGATCAGTTGGGCCTGACAAGCACTGAGAGCATCACAGTGCCAGTTTCCAAAGCCCTTCTGTGCAGCCTGTGTCAAAACCATCTGCTTTGGGCTTACAGCCTCCCCTGGGAAGTCACAGCCTGCAGCAGGGGCCTCCCAGGGAATTCTTCTGAGCTTTCCTCAGCCTTCCTGGAAAAAGGCAGGAACAGGCAATTCAGAGCCTGCACTGAGCACTATGGAGTAGACTCAGCAGCAGCATCCTTGCTGCAGTGTCCATGGAACAAGGGGATTTGCACATGCTTTCCTCCACCCCAAGTCCACCTGAAATGAGTTTATCACTCCATCAGCAGCTGGTTTGCTGGAATAGGGCACGGAGCTCAGATGCTGGTCTCTGCAGGCCTGTGCACCAATTGTACCTCAAACACCTACAAAATCACCCCCATCATCTTTCTACAGCTGTGCTAAGCTTAGAAGAGGAGTTGTAAAGCCTAATGCAGGGTCCAGCTTGAATGGCAAGAAACCACCAGGTCAGGGGCTGGGGCTAGGGTCTTGCTAAACCCAGCTGCACTGAAACACAAACGCAGTTTAATGAGGTGAAAGTTCTCCCACAGACAAGACCTGAGCTCTGAGCACTGCAGAGGACTTTAAAATGAAAACAAGTGGGGCTCTTGATCCCATATCCAGTGATGCTCTGGAGCAAAAGCCAATTAATACACCAAGTCTTTCTCAAGAGGTGCTTTCCCCTTAAAGCCTATTCAAATATGCAGTGAGTTGGAGTGGTAACTTAGGAAACACCATCAGTTTTAGTTGAAAATCTCCCCTTTTAAAACCAAGCTTTTCATGGGGGGGGAACACCAAATATATTTGGTCCGTGTTGTGACAAACCCATATAGCTCAGACCCCAGTACATTCCCTTGCACCGAGACAAGGGCACCCATTAAACAGATTTGATTCCATCCTTCCTCCTCCTGCCAGCAAAAACATCTCCAACAAGGCTCATTTAACCTAGCAAGGGAGAGTTTTCATGTTTCCTTCATTCCCAGTCCTCGCTACCACCTCTTTCCCTGCAAAGGCCTCATAGCTTCTTCCATAAGAATTAAGAGCAGCTTAAGGAGTTACTCTCACCTGATTGCCTTGCTTTTCCCCAACAGCTCGGCAGGATACATGAGAGCAAACACCCCAGCTCTCATCTTTAATGGGATACAACAGAGGATCTACAGCTGACAAATACCCAGCAGGACCCCATTCATGGTCATTCACCATTCAGTGAGAGCTGGAAGAGGGCAAGCTGCCCCGACATCACATACCAGCACCTTTCAGCCCATGCTGTGACTGCTGCCATGGAGATCAGCCCTGTCCTGGAGCTCTTACCCAGAAGAAACACGAGTATTTCCCAATGCTTCCTCCTTCTGACTCAGCTGGGAAGCTGCCACAGGAGCCTGCTGGCTCCCAGCCCACCTGAGACAAAGGGCAGGAGCTGCAGCCATGGGAGAGTGTACATAGAACCACAGGACCCCAGCCTGGTTTGGGTTGGAAGGACCTCAAAGCTCATCCAGTTCCAGCCCCTGCCACAAGCAGGGACCCCTTCCACTAGAGCAGCTTGCTCCAAGCCCCTGTGTCCAACCTGCCCTTGAACACTGCCAGGGATGGGGCAGCCACAGCTTCTCTGGGCACCCTGTGCCAGCGCCTCAGCACCCTCACAGGGAGCAGTTTCTTCCTTATATAAATAGAGGATGTTCAGGTTAGATATAACAACCAATTTCTCAAGCTGCAAACCCCACCCACCGCAGGCTTTCACCAACCCAACCACCCATTCTGAGGTTTAAAACCCACTATCCTTGCTCATATATATCTATTTAAGTACATACATACCACAACCAGCTTTCAGCAACAGTGCAACCTGAGGAAGAGCTCCAAACCTCAGCACTGCCTGGTCAGCATGCTTGTGATACATCCAGCCCTATCAAAGGGGATGGCAAAGCCAGGGAGAAAAGGCTGCTCACTCCCACCAGCTACTACTGCTGCAGGGCAAGAGCAGCTCATTACTACTGCTATAAGTTCATTAGCATTTTACCTTTGAGGCAGAACAGAGAGAGGATAGCTGCATGGGAAAGACCTTCACCACCATGAGAGAGAGCCCTAGGCTTGCCCTAGCTCTATATATATGCCCTACAACTTGTGATGGCAATTGTAGGGAGGGAATGAGGAGCACCTGCAGGCACCCTGCAGGATGTGGCCCATTACATTTGCCTCACAACACACCCTTTAGCAAGTGTTGTTTGCACTCAATTGCCTTTACAGCACTAAATCCCAGAGTGGTTTGGGTTGGAAGGGACTTCAAAGCCCATCCAGCTCCAACCCCTGCCACGGGCAGGGACCCCTTCCACTAGAGCAGCTTGCTCCAAGCCCCTGTGTCCAACCTGGCCTTGAGCACTGCCAGGGATGGGGCAGCCACAGCTTCTCTGGGCAATGTTCAAATCCCAGTCTCTGGCTCCCTCTCCTGCACTTTAGAGTTAATGAAGGAGTGGACAAAAAGCCCTGACACATGGAGCATCCCAAACCTGGGCTCACCTCCCCTGTCCTGTCCCTTGGAGCGTGGCGTATCCTCACTGCAGATGCCAGGAAGCCCGGTTCCCAAAGCATCTCTGGAAAGCTGGAAATGATGGTGAGACCCATGGTGGCTCACACTGCCCCAGCAAGGCTCATATAGGGGGGAAAAATATACATGATTTGTTTTTTTCATGAATACCATACAACAGCGGTGGTATAGAAGGAGATGCTTGTGTATCCTCACGCAGCTTGCCATGGGGGATGTCCTGCCCTGGCCGCATCTGTGGGACACGTCAAGAGCTCTCAGTGGGGATTTCAGAGTCAACATCACCTTCCTCATCCTCTCCTGGGGGTACAGAGGAGCAAGGAAGGGTGACAATGAAGCATAAGTGCTGGTTAAGCCCAGCAGGGTAAAGATCTGGGAGGCAGCACAACAGGGCCAGGGCCACATGGTCCCACCTGCCCTGCTCTCCCCCATCTCTTCCTGATGCCCTGTACACAGGAGGGCTGGGCAGTGCATTTATCACTGCCCAAGCCCTGTTCTCCCCACCCCTCTTCTCAACCGAGCCGCACTCCTCCTCCTCTCCTTCAGACTTCATCCCACACAGTTCAATTTCAATGGTGACAACAGGCATCAGGCAAAAACCCGCTTGTGCAAAGCACTGCTGGTGTGAGGAGGTGGGACCAGACGTAGGTGTGTGCCCACAGGCACTCCCTGTAACAGCTCCTCACCTCCTCCCATCACCACACAGCTCCATCAGCAACTTGCAAAGCTCAGACAAGCGCAGCCTCCCTGTTTCCCTCCATCCTTCAGGCTTAGAAGGACACGTGCCATGGAGAGAGCTGCTGGTGGCCATGACAAATGGTACCCTGAATGAGCACCATCGAGGGGAAGCGGGATGCAGACATGCAAAACACACTCACTCCTGTGTCACCAGGTTGCTATAAACACATCCACAGCCCAGGATAAACACCCGTGGAAGCAGGAACCAGCTTTTGCCTGGCCCGACCCACCTGAGCCAGCCCCTTAGGAAACCTGCACAGAAGGATGTGCCAGGTAGTATGAAATGGATTAATGCAAAGCTGCTCCTTGCATAAGATGCTATTGGTACCACTGACTTCCTGCATCGACAGACAAGGATGGATCTCCCTGGGCTGGTTGCTGCTGCATCACTTCATTTTTCTTGGCACCTGGAGGCTCAGCGCTTCCCAACAAACCCAGGATCCGTGGGAAGGTGCCAGTCCCCCCATGGGACATGTTCCCAAGGCAAGCACTGCTGCTGGGTGCACCCGCCAGCAGATGGGACATGCTGGGACCGGCCTGGGAAGAGCTGCACCTCGCCCCACTGGCAGCAGGACCAAGCACACCTCCTTCCCTTGCTGGTTACTGAGCTGTAAGGCCGTAAGATGGATAGCAGGAAGAGAACAATGGCAAAAGGAGCCCTGCCCATCCCAGCGTGCACCTCCTGCTCCAATCACTGCTCTTCACACATGGCAGGAGCAGCCCAACCCATTGCCCATGGCCCTTAATTGACACTTTCAGTTTATCTTTGATCACATAGGTCCCGAGATGAGATCTCATTTCTGAGATGTTTCTGGCTTTGGGATAGGCCATTTTTAACAGAGAGTAGTTGCTGCTCACCTTCTATAGAAGATAAAAATTCTTGGTAGGTGCAGACCAGGATTGTCTCCGGGCTGTTGTAGGGATTAGCGGCTCTACAGCCATGGAAACAGCAGGATAAAGGGGGTTGCTTTTGGAATACATTAGAACCGCCTGTCTGCATCCCTCACTGGGGATCAGGGGAAAGTGTGTGAGATGAACAGAACCGGTTTCTCACAGCTCACTCCCAGGGTAAGTTTCATTCAGCTGCCCCGCAGCACCAGCCAGGCCAGTTCTGCCTTTGGACTGGTCTCACTGGTGTCTTCTCCAGCTTTGGTGCCCATACCAAGGATCCAAACCACCAGGAGGCACAGGGAGCACCCCATGGAAGTGACGCATTGGAAGGAGCCTGATTGGCAGCCTGTGGGTCCCCATGGGGGGCACACATAGCCCCGACCGTAGGAGAAGGGGCTCTACCACAGGCACAGGTCCCTGCTTCGCCCTCCCGCATCACTCACAGCACCAGCACCGCAGGGATCTCCATGACACAGAGACAATGGGTTACTAAAAGTGTTGTATTTGTAGGCCAGTATTAATCTGTGCTATTCCTATTTGCTGTCTATTAATCCCCATGTCATAGAACCATGGGTTAGGGTTGGAAGGGACCTTCGAGACCACCTGGTCACTGGCAGCTGTGTCACTGGGAGTTGAATCTGAGTGAGGCAGACTTCACAGCAGGCTGGCAAGGTAGAGCAGCCGCAGTTTCTCTTCTTTTCCCTTCTCAGCCCTGCCCAGGGAAGGGCTTTGGTGACTGCTCTTCCCCCGGACCACAAAGGCAGTGCCTGTTAATCAGTAACCACGGGAGCAGAGCTGATTCAGGTTGTGCTGCTGAGCACGGGTCAAGCTGGGAAAGGAAAACTGCTGCACCAGTGACTTCATGTCCAGCGTTTCCTGGGCTGACGGATGGTTTCCCAGCACATGGACCAACCCAGAGCCCTCTGGATACAGCCCAGTCCCTGCAATAGCATCACTTTGCTGGACACGGATGTGTTGGGACGCAGATGCCGCTCGTGGTCCTGTCTCAGAGCACACACCAGCAGGGCTGCAGGGTGCCCACTGTCAGTGACGCCAGTGGGGATGGATGAAGCTCTTCTGCAGACCCTCCATGACCACCTTCACCAGCAGGAAAGGAGACTTGTCCAGCTGCAACCAGGGACTGAATGAGGGGCTGAGCGAACCCCTGACCTGCACAGACAGCTTTGCCTGGGCACAGGTCAGCTCAAGACAGGCTTTTCCCCTGGGATGCCTGCTCCGATCTTCCTCTTTCCCACAGACTGAGCTGGGTTCAGACCGAGCTTTCCACAGAATACTAACACAGGGTTGGGAAGTGGCCGCTGTTCCCCTTTCATTCAGGACTGCAGCCCTGCTGCCAGAGAGACATCTTACAAAGGGGCTTTGGCTCGCTCCTGCAATCCCTGGTTTTCCAGCCATGCAGAGGACAATGATGCTGTTCATGCCCCAGGACTGCCAGCCCTGGCCAAGCACCCCACAAGCCCTGCCTGAGCGTGGGTCCCACTGCAGTGTGGGGTTCCTTGGAGCCACACGTCCCTTGGGATGTGCTGTCTCCGCTCAGGGGGCGATGGCAGACGGCTGCTTCCTCTGCTCCTGCCTCATCTTCAGAGCCAGCATTGCCCGGCGGTACAGATCTGCAGGAGGGAAGTGGTCAGGGCTGAGCACAGGGGCAGCTCCTGGGCCCAGCAGGCAGCCTGTGATGAGCAAGGACACCCAGGCTCCAGCACAGGGCACTCGTGTGGCCTCCCCGTATCCCAGAGGTGGCTCATCTGCCTTCCCAACAGCCCCCCCCGCCCTGCAGCAGCACTTGCTTGTGCTGTCCCCATACCAAGCACCCCATGGCCAAGGGCTCCTGCACACCTTATGCCCCTTTGCTACCAGGACAGACCCCAAGTGCTTCTCAGCAACATCTGCCCTGGGAAATACGAACCAAAGGTGCTTGAGACCTCCTCACGCTGCTGCTCCACGGCAGGATCCTGCGACTTGATTTTATTCTTGATTTTCTTCTTCTTTTTCTTCTTCATGGCCTGCACTGGATGAAGAAATGCACAATGTCAGGAGCTACACCAGAGCAGGGATGCGATTGTCACCAAATCAGCTGAGAGGACTGCTGCTGGTGCAGTCCTCCATCACCTCCACGCATCAGCCCCTGCAGAGATGCTCTGGGATGTCTCTCTTCTTCCCAGCTGGATCTTTGTGACCCTGCTCTGTGTTCAGCTGATCTGCAACCAAAGCTGATGGAGGTGGCAGGGACCGGTGGTGCAGCACACTGCTGTGTTGTCCCCAGAACACCCTGTGGGGTGGCTCTGGGGTCCCTATGTGCAGTGCATCACCGCAGCCCCTCTCACCTGGGTGTGGGGTGGCCATCACAGTGGGAACCAGCTCCTCCTGCCCAACCCTGTTGGGGGGCAGCAGCCCCCCGGCAGCCCCCGCTCGGCTGTCACCCCCTCCTCCTGGTCCCTCCGGCTCCTCGGCTGGGCTTGGCTGCCCCAGGCCCTTCTTCCTCACCTTCACCTTTCTCTTCTTCCTCCCGGCGCCCTTAGCGCTGTCCTCCTGGGCAGGATAAGGGGGGGGTGAGGGAAGGCGTCGGAACTCCCCTTCCATCCCACCCTATCCCATCTCATCCCACCCCATCTCATCCGAGGGGGGACTCTCACCAGGGGCAGGAGGCGAGGCACGGGCCGCGGCGGCCGGTACTCTCCCGTTATCCCCGCGCCCTCTCGGGCATCCTCCGCGGGGAGCGCTGGGTCCCTGCTGGGGCGAGAGCGCAGAGAAGGATGGGGATGGGGACAACGGGAAACAGGGACGGGTACCCCAGGACCCCCGTACCAACCTGCGGGCGGGCTGGCGGCTGCGGGCTGCCCTGGGGCCGGGGTCGGGCAGCGGAGCGGCGGCGGGCGGTGGGGCTGGGGGGGCGGGGATGGTGCGGAGGAGCCAGCGCAGCCCCTGCAGCGTGGTGCGGGGCGGGCCGGAGGAGGGGCCCCGGTTGGCGGCACAGGGCTCCTGCGGTGGAGGGGCACGGTTAACCCCGACGGGCACCGCGGAGCGGGCACCGGGAGCGGGACAGCCCCGCACTCACGATGCGGCAGGGAGAGCGGTTCTCGTTGACCAGCCGCTCCAGGGACAGGCGCTCGATCAGCTCGCAGGGCAGCAGGGCAGACGCTGTGTCTTGCTTGTTGGCCAGCCTAGGGACATGGGGAGAGAGAAGCGTGACCATCACCGTGGCCTCTGGGCGCCTGGCCGCAGGGAAGGCTGGATGCTTTCTCCCCGTTTGGCTATGATTAGGTGAAGTGTTGCCCAAGCCTTTACCAGGCACTGAAACCCCATCCCCAGGGATACCCCTAGAGCATCACTGGGGTCCCCTTGTCCCAGCATCCTCTCAACAGCCCCTTAGGTACCACATCCCTTCAGCATCCAAGTCACACACCCCACAGTCCCAACAACGAGTCCCCGCTCCCTCCTTCACCACGAACCCTGCAGGTCACATCTCTGGGACCCAGCCTTACAATAAGAGGGGCTTCCCGGAGACATCAGGGTGGCTCAGGACGCGGCTCAGGACCCTGCGAGCCTCCTCCATCCGTGCCAGGTCGCTGGAGTCCAGCACGAAGAGGAGCCCATGGGCTGCGCTGTAGTGACTGCGCCAGGCGCTGCGGGAGCGCGGGGCCCCGGGCAGGTCCAGCAGGGTCACCTCGAAGCGCTCCACCCTCAGGCGGGTCTGGCCGGGCTGTGCCGTGGGCAGCACCTCGCTGGGCAGCGCTGTGAGCAGGAGAGGGCAGAGAGCCGGTGCAGTGAGCCCGCAGCATCCCTGTGCTGTGTGCCTCCTGCTCCCGATCCCACTGCCGGCAGCAGATGGGGCTTGGTCCTTCAAGGCTCAAGCAGTTGGTTGCAAAGGACCCTAAAGCTGCTGCCTCCAGCCAAGGCTGGCTCTGGGGCAGTGCAGCTCCTTACCTCTGTCTAGGTCCATGATGACGGAGGTTTTCCCAGCGTTGTCCAGCCCCAACACAAGGAGTGTGACCTTCCTGTGGAGTGACAACGGGATGTGCGCATCCCAGAGAAAGGCTGTGCTCCCTTGGGGACCACTGACCACTGCTGGCTCCAGGGCTTCCATGATTAACTCCTACCCCAGGACAGAGGCAGGATGGTGACACAGGCTACGGATGAGCTGAGGATGAGGGCAGGCACAGGCTGCTGGAACCCCTCCCAGCACAACGGGACAGCCACAATGGGGAGCCTTCAACGTGCTATGTACAGCAAGGATTCCTTTTCATATCACAGAGGATTAAGCAATGATATGCACAAGCCAAAATGATTGCTCCTTACATGCAAACAGTTAATGATTGCTCTTTGTGCCCTTCCTTGTCAGAGGGCTGTGGGTTCACACAGCCAGGGAGAGGTAGCAAGGACATTTTATGAGCTTCTGCCTGGGCTCAGGAGGTTTTTCCTGCTGCTAAACCGCCCTGTTTGGTCTGCAGCGATGCACAGAACGTTTCCCCTGGTGTTGAGAAGCCTCAGCAGTGATTCCCAGTGTTGTTTGCATCCTTAAACACACTGTGGGTGTGCCAGCCCTGCTGCTGGCATTACAGCAACGTGCCCTGGTTGGCAGGACAAGGCCATAAACCCTCTCACTGCTGCAGGGTCTGCCCAGGCTGGGGCAGCACCATCCCCAGGGAATTAACCTGGGTCTCCCAACACATGCAAATCCCAGCCTGCTTTGGGTTGGAAGGGACCTCAAAGCTCCTCCAGCTCCAACCCCTGCCACAGGCAGGGACACCTTCCACTAGAGCAGCTTGCTCCAAGCCCCTGTGGCCAACCTGCCCTTGAACACTGCCAGGGATGGGGCAGCCACAGCTTCTTTGGGCACCCTGTGCCAGCGCCTCAGCACCCTCACAGGGAAGAGCTTCTGCCTAAGAGCTCATCTCAGTCTCCCCTCGGGCAGGTTAAAGCCATTCCCCTTGGCCTGTCCCTTGTCCAAAGCCCCTCTCCAGGTTTCCCTTCAGGTATCCACATCCTCCCCGACTTTCCCAGGAAGCCGCTGACACCGCACAGGGGGAATCCCACTGCCAGTGTTCCCACCCCTGTCTGCCCAGCTCCTGCCTGTGGGGACACACGTGTGCCTTGCTCCGCAGCTGGGGTCAGTCCCCGCAATGAGCACAGCTCTCGCAGTGCTCCTGCATCAGTGCCCTCACTGATAAACTCATGGACAAATCCCCCCGGGAATCCCCAAGGAGAGCACACAGGGACCTACCTGATGGGCTCCTGTATGGCCTGCAGCCACGACCAGCAGTGGGAGAAGAGGTGGAACATGCTCCGTGGGGAGGGCTGGCTTCTCTTCAGCACCTATGAAGTGAGGAGCCTGCAGTGTCCCCATGCTGCATCCTCCTCTGTTCTCCACATGTCAGGGGGCACCTCACCCCATTCCCAGCCCCACTGGCGATGCCCCATGGGTCTGGACCCCCATCAGCCCCTTCTTGTATCCAAGCAGCCTCTTACCTTCTCGTCCCTGCCGCGCTGGCCTCTCACATCCCCTTTGCTCAGCATCTGCTTAAACCTAATCTGGATTTAAACGGTTTACTCTTCGCAGCTTCCCTAATCCCAGTGGGTCGTCCCAGGCCGGTGGCCACTGGGACATGGAGTGCCATGGGGCTGCCCACCACATTGGGTGGCATGGCACAGCATGGCACAGCACTGCATTACCCACCTGGCTGCTTTGTGTCTCCATCAGTGGCTTAAGTGGCAGGCACATGGCCTGGCAGCCATGGGATTGTCAGCTGAGTTAATGCCTGCTCTATCCAATAGTGCCCCTGGCTTTTGCTGCCTAATCCCTGTGTGGATGCTTCTCTGTGGCCCCACATGGCGTGCACGGCTCCATTGCCCACCCAGGGTCCCCTCTGTGCCAGGCTGTGGGACATCACTGCTCATTGCTGGTCCTTCATGCTAATGAAGCACACCCTGAGCATCAATGGGTCCTGTGCTGCCTGCAAGAGGAACACCAGCCAGCCCAAGCAGGCACCTGGCTGGGAGCAGGGAGGCGGTGGGGACCCTCAGACAATGGGGCAGGGAATAAAAAGCTCAACATGAGCTGGCAGTGTTCAAATCCAGCTTAGACAGGGCTTTAAGGTCCCTTCCAACCCAAACCGCTCCATGACTCCATGATTCTATGACACGAGACCTTCCAAAGCCACACTGGGGACCAAACAAGGATCCCACCAGCTCACCTGGGTCTGTGCTAAACCACCCAGCGCCAGCAGCACTACCTTGACCATCAGAGCCTCAGCCATGTGCCAAGGATGCTGAGATGCTTCCAGGCATCCCGCAGCTCCAGGGTGACCCAGGGAACAAGCCCAGGCACAGCCCCTCACCACAGCCTCACACACTGCACTGGGTGAGGAGCTGCCCAGAGCCACACCATGGGCAGGGAGCCACTGGTGGTTAATGATTGATGAGGTTCCTGCACCGTATCACAACCACACACATCAATATCTGGGGCTGTTGTTCACCCCATGCTGCTGATGGGACACAGCCCTGTCCCCAGTCAGCTCCTGTTATGTTGGGAGCAGTTGTGCCCATTATGGGACCAGCAGCAGTGCCAGGTTTGCAGGAAGCTTTTTGCTGTACCAGAATTAGCTGCACCAGGGCCAAAACGACTTGCTGGAAGCGATAACGCCTGCCTTTGTGCCTAGGGGTGGCACTGCCAGTGAGAGCCAGGCAGGGGCCGGGAAGAGGTATGACCAGAGGGTGGTATCCATAGGGATTGCCACGTGTCAGGCAGCCCTGGAGGCGCGCACAGCCTCCTGAGGGGCAGCAAGAGCTGGTGTCCCTCCAGCGCCAATGGATTTCCAGAGCAATGGGTGCTCTGCTGCTGTTAACACAAGTGCCCCGAATCCCTGGTGCCAGCGACTGGGAACCCCCGGGAGCCTGGAGCAGCTCCAGGTCACCTCCCCACGTACCACAATGGTCACAGAGGCTGGGAAACCCTCCAAACCCATCCCAAACCTGGCAGAACCCTCCCTTGAATCCCAAGCGGTGGTGTGAGGGCCATGCCCAGCTCCATGGGCTCAGGTTGCAGAGCAGAGACTGGCCCTCATCCCATACAAACACACAGAGAGCAGAGGGAGCCCCTCATCCAGCACGGCAGGGACCCCCCGGGCAGTGCCAGTGGGTACCCGCCGCCTGGGTTTCCTTGGTGACTGTTGCCAGGTGAGAAACTCCGAGGCAGAATTTATCCTCTTGGTGGATAACTGGAGGTGTTCCTCGCTGGAGCCATCACCGGAGCCCCCCAGGGAAGGCTGTGCCCGGGGCACTGGGGCTGCTCAGCCCCTGGCATCGCTTCCCGGAAGGCAGCACGTGTTTTGGGGCTATTTCTGCCTCGCTGGAGTGCCGCGGGCGAGGGAAGGAGGCGAGAGCACAGGACGGAATTGGAGCACAGATGGACACGGGCTGGCGGGCTGCCCTGCCTTGGCTTCACTAGACCCTGTGAGTATGTACCCGAGCTGGCATCAGGAACCCCGATGAGACCCCAGGGTGAGGGGCTGAGTGAGGGGGACGGCAGTGGCAGGGGTGGGGAGCTTGCACATGGGGAATGATGGCTTGCAAGGGAAAGCAGTGACCAGTGCAGTGCTATGGGGGCTGCCTATAGCATTTATCGTGGGGTGATGAAAGCTGAGGTGATGGCAAGGACAGTAAAGCCTGGCAGGAATATTTCCAAGCTGTTCTGCTTTGCTTGGGATCGCATCGACTGTGGCCAAAAAAGCAGGGCGAGGGCATGCCCAGCCTTTGGGGAGGGACTCATCTCTCTGTTGAATGCCTCCGAGGCGGCACACGGAGGCAGCGCAGAGAGATGCGCCGTCCCTTTAAATCCCAGCACGGCTCTGGTGGTTACCGATAACCCGGATCGTACGAGCTCCTAAATCCCAAGAGCTAATTACAGACGAAGGCCCAGCGGTCAGGCTGGAAATGCAAGATAATTACAGCCTGTGCCACGCAGACCTGGTGGCAATGGGCACCGGGGGTGTTTGCTGGCACGGTGGCAGGGAGTAAAGCAGGATTGCACCATGGCTTCCACACCGGCACCAAGCACAGTGGAATCCGGTTGTGCTCCCCACCACCAGCCCAGCAACCACTCTCTGAGCTATTTTAGGCACAGAAAGTTGTTTTTCTAGAGCTCTCTTTGCTCCCCCTCCATCACTACCACCACCCCGCAGCAGGCACAGGCGCAGGGGAGGTGTGTGCAGGGAGCTGGGTGCTTCTAACCCCATTTCCGGATGGGTGCTTCCCAGCCAGAGCACACACAAATTCCCAGGAGAGGCTTGGATTTGACTGGGGTCTGTGTCAGTCCCTGGCGCCTGCGGAGGATGCCAGCTTTATGATGCCCCTTTGAAGGCTACAAACCCTACCTAGGCTCCTACAGTGGTTTTGCTGAGAGCATTACAGTGCAGCGAAGGAGAGTGTAACCCATCCCTCCGGCCTGCCAGGATGCCTGGGCATGTGCAGTGCCTCCTGGCTGGGTTAGCAGGGTGAGCTGTATACTCTTACAGGAGGCGGGACCAGAGGAATCGGTTAATTAAAGTCATTTTAACCCTTCCTTCCCTGGTTTACTGTTACAGCATCACCCGGTGCCTGAGCTGGGACTGTACCCAAAGAGGCACCACCTATAACTATCGCAAACACCTATAAATGTGTTGAAGTTACCTTGAAGATGGTAACTCTTTCCTCGTTAAAGAATTGAAGCCAGGAGTGGCTTGGCCCATGCCAGAGGAGCACAGGGTGCCTGCTTTATGGGCCCAGCACTGCAGCGAGATACAGAGGGATGAGCTCCTCAGGGCAGCCATGAGTTTATATCCCAGCAGGATAAGGGGGAGAAGCTGGATGAGGAACTGGGCTGGTAAAAGCAGTCTCATGATGAAGTAAATGGAAAGAAATATTTCCCCAACCAGAAACTATTCCACAGACAGCTGGGGCAGGAAAATAGGCAGCTGAGTTACTGAGGCAGCGATGCAGAATCCAAACAGCTCAGGCTGTCAAAACCAGCAAAGCTATTTCCAAACTAAGTAAAGCATTCCCGGCTCAGAGATTCCTGGGAACACGGTGAGGTCCCTGCTCAGTGCGTGCGGAGCCAGGGAACGCTGATTTCCATCTCACCCAGCACGTCCTCGCCATCGCTCCATGCTGAGTGTTTAATCCTCCTCGGAGCGTGTTGCCGGGGTGGTTTGGGGCCGAAAGGGCAGCGTGGTCCCCACACCCCCTGCTCCACGCTATGTGCTGGGCTATATTTGGGAAGCCGGCACCGTGCGCTTGGCTCCGAGAGCCGCTCCGGGTCCTAGTGCGGTGCGGCAAGGACAGGAGAGCAGAGCCCGCGGGCTGCGGTCCTACCTGGGCTCTTTAAGGGCTCTGGCAAGGAGCTGCCTCCCATTCCCATTTCTTCTCCTTTTACAGGAGCTGAGCCGCCAGGCATGTGTAAAGCACACACGGCTATTTTCAGAGCTGGAGCCTGCTCCCACCCCACGCTCAGCCCAGGCTCTCATAGGCATCAAATCCCGGCAGGCAGACACCCCTGCCACAGCCCCGTGTTCAATGTGTGTGAACACCGGCACTGACAAAATAATGGAGGCTGGGATTAAGAAAACAATGGAGCTGGGATGCTCTCCAGCACTGACATCCAGCACTGGTGGCAGGACTTTGGGAACCCCATGGCAGGCGGTTGGAACTGGATGAGCTTTAAGGCCCCTTACAACCCAAACAGAAGTGAACTGTGACCCATTGAAACCCCTTCACTTTCCTAAGTGGTCCTAGAGATGCCAGCACAGTCCCCATCTGTTTGGCACCTTGGCTTATATCCTGACGGGCACTTCCATGCTAGTTCCGCATCACATTCACCCCATCCAGGCCCAGTTCTGCTCCAGGGTTCTGGCCCAGCATCCAGGCACTGCAGATGGGGACACAAGGGTGGGATATCCTTCAGTGTCACTAAAGCCGTGCTGGGATTGCAGGCAGAGCGGGTCCAGGGAGCGGCGGTGGCAATGGGGACAGGGTGGCTGGTGCTATCTGTGACACAGGGAGTGTTTATGGCCTGCTGTTTACACCGGGGCCAGGTAGGGTTAGGCTGGAGGGGTGACTCACAGCGTGCACCAGAACACAGCCCGCTGCTTGGGTCAGAAAATGGGATAATAGCTGGTGTGGGAAGCGCGGTGAGGCTTCATCCCGCCATTCCCATCATGGGCGCCGGCGCTCCCTGAAGCAGGTCTGGAATTCTTGAGTGCTTAAACAATCGCTCATTTCATCACGAAACAAGGGAAGATGAAGTCATCAATGGGATGAGTCGGAGCCCAGGCATTGCTCAGCCGAGGGCTTGGTGCCCTGCCAGGCTCCTGGGGGATGCTTTTAATTTGGATAAATGGAAGTTGCATAAATGGTGTGAGTTGCCCCTTGCTCTGCTACTACAGAGGTGTGGGCACAGTTGGCAGTGCCCTGTCACTGTCTGAGTGCCCATACAGGCCTATGCGCAGCTCCCATCCCGGGTATCCACAGCATCCGGCTCCTTCCTTTGGGCGCTGTTCCCTTTGCCCTCTGTCCCACTGGGGTTCTTTTTGGAGAAGCTGTTTCCAAAAACAGCTGGAAAATACATGATTGTCATACCAGAGCTGAGCGATGACACGTGGGTCCCTGTCTGCGCCGGTCAGGCCAGTCCCTGTGAGCTCATGGTGTTTGTGGCTTCCCAAAGCAGCTCCTCAGCTGCTTGGAAGGAAAAGTGCTGAGACCAGGATTGCTTCTGAGTGAGAGCTGCCACTGGGGAGACGCAGCCTTGGAGGGCTCAGATGGTTTCATTCCCAGCTTTGCCACTGATAAGCCGGGTAAAAGAGGGGGAACTTGTGTGGGGGGCTTGGGAGGGTTCATGCTTTTGGCTTGTATGGGGCTGGGTGAGTGATGGATGCAGCGTGGGCACCTCCCTGTGAGAAGGTCTGGCTGCTGAGGGATTTAAAAGCTACCTAAGA